TAAAATCAGCTGGTATGAAAACAAATTCGCTCTTAAAAAAAAGGCAGAAAACACATTCCTGGTTATAGGGTTTTTTTTTTTATGTTTCCAAACCTGAAACAAAAATTGTGTTCTTGAATTCTTGGTTTAAACATATTTTCATCTGGCTATTTAATAATGATGTTTCATAAATTATATAATTTCTATATTATAAATTTTGTTTTTGAGTTTGTTTCCAAAACAATTGTTTTGATGGTTTTAAAAATATGTATTCTTTTTGAAATTTACTTTTTTTTTTCTCTTAATGTGATTGATAAAAACCAAAAAARAGAAAAAACAAACAACAATGGACAATCCCTTTGTTAATCCAATACTTTTCGAAAATATCATTCAAATATTTATTCAAAGAGCTAGGTCTTGTAAGAATTTATAAACAAGTGAAACCGAACCAAGAGCCATTTAATGAAACAATTCACGGTTGAGCTCAATTACAATGTATCAGTGCACATCGACCAATATGTCAATGTCATACGTATTGGTTTTAAGATTCTCCTACACTGAAAATATAGAGTTAAGTGATTTGTACATCCATACATAATATTGATTCTATGCAAGATAGCTAAGGAAAGGCCAAAGGGCGGCCAAATGCGCAGTGGGATAACTTTGACTGTTGGGAGCCAACTATATAGGCTGTTGAGAGCGTTTTAGAGCTGGGCATGTTTACCTATTTACACCCATGTCTTTCTTTTCTATCAAAATAAAATAAGGGGATAATTACTAATTTACCCACTCTCATGGTAATGTGGCATTCTCAAAACCGCTCTCAACAGCATAGGCTGTTGGCTCCCAACAGTCAAAGTATTTTGATGCACAGTGGATTCTGTGTGTAGAGAAAGAGAGAGCAAATATCTTCTATTATTGCATACAAAAAAGAAAATATCAATCCTTTGAGGATTATACAAGAAATATGAAATGGTATATAGAACATGCTATCAAGCTATACATCAGAAACATCTCCTCACAAATTTAATATTTTTGAGTATGGGAGAATAGAAATATTTCCAATATGCAGCTGTTTCATGCAGTCTTCTACACCCAAAGTGATTGTCTTTTCACTCCAAGTGATTCAAAAGACAGGATTTCTGTTAGACAAGAGGTTGGGTTACTCTTCCGGCCCAGTTACAAGTGATTCAAAAGAAAGGATTTGCACCCAATAAATTTATACGAGATCGGATTCAGTCCTCATAAAATGGTACTCACTCCATATTTACGGCCACTTGTCAGCTGTGCATGGGGAATATTAATATATACAAGTACTGAAATATTTTCAATACATAGTTACAAGTGACTGTAAGGATATTGTGAATACAGTTTTGTGAGGACTGAATCCGAATTCACCACACATTGGGAGAAGATCCGAACTCACTTTAGGCTGTAAAATTGACTTCGACGTCAAATTCATGACATACAATATGATAATATTAGTATTTTTTGCCCATTTGATTAATAATACGATATTTTGATCATTTTCGTTTAAATTAATAATATTATTCAATATCTCATGCATAGGTCATTGCAATCCAAATTTAGATCAAATTGATACTATATTATAAAGCAATATAGGCAACCTCAACAGTCCTCTCCTTCTCCCATTCCCCCTTCTTTCATTTCTTCTTAACTCTCTCTCTTTTCTCTAAACCCCCCTTCTTAGCCCTTCCATTTAGTCATGTGGCAGTCCTCTTTTTTTCACTTTGCGTGTGGCAGAACTCTTAATCTATATTACATACCCAATAAACCATACAAAAACAAAAATTGTGGTTAAATTAATTTGGGTAGTTAAATTAATTTATGAAATATTTTTTATATTTTCAATAATTAGTGATATTATTGAATATTATTCAGTAAATATAAACATCTAAACTATAAATTTTCAAAATGTTACTAAATTGGAAAATTTAATTACTTGCTGAAAATTACTGATTTTGGTAATTTAATTTCAGAAAATTTTGATAATTAATTATTGAAATTAATAATTACTAAAATTAACATTTAATCAAAATATTAATAAATACAATTTAAATAATTAAATATCATTGGTAATTTTCATTGGAAAATTTAATAAATATAAGGAAAATTGTCTAAAACTCACCATGAGTTTTTAGCATTTTTCTTAAACTCACCACAACTTTTCAAACTATCTAAAACTCACCATGTTAGTAAGTTTCTTTTTTTCTTTCCAAAACTTACCTTCTATTAGTGCATCGTTAATGCTTCTTGATGATGCACGTTTTGGCAACTCCTGGCTGGCAAATGACTCGGATGCCTAGCTGAACAATCCCTACTTAGAATGTGGCTTGGACGCCTAGCTGAATGGTTCCTAGTTGGAAAGTGGCTCGAACGCCTAGTTGAATGGTGACAAACTGGAAGGTGGCTCGAATGCCTAGCTGAATAGTGACGAGCTATATAGTTTATTAGGGCGACATGCAAGGAAATAGTGTCTGAGTGCCCGGGTTGCTTTACCCAGGGTGGGCACTCCAATGCTTAAGTCAACGAGTTGAAAATTTTTTGAGAGAGCTAAAAGTGAGATAGAGAGCTATGAGAGACAAATTGTTCATCTACCATTTGAGGTTGGAGGTAAGGCCTTTATATAGGCATTGTTTGGCATGGGTATCACGCACCGCGTCTGAGATCTCCAGGAAGACATGCCTAACTGGTCCAAAGTCCTGAGAGGTAGTTGTGCACATAGGCCAATCTTTGTGCCTTTGTCGGTTTCCTCCAAAACATTCGGTGTAAGAGCTAACTTCTGAGAGACCCGGGAGTGATGGGATGCATGTAGAGTTGGTTAGCAAGCACATCTCGCAGGTTGCCACTTGGACCTCAATCAAGTTTGCAAGCCCTCGAGGTAAGTCACTCCTCATGTTGAGATCACTTCGGCCGATACTGACAAGGCACCACAGGTCGGCTTTGGATAAGGTTTTGCTAGTTGCCCTGAGCTGTGGATGAGGCCGCCAGCAAGATTTCCACCAAGCCGGCGGAGGCAAGTCACTAGGTCGGAGGCGGAGGCAGGTCGCCAGGTCAGTGGAAGAGGCAGGTCGCCAAGTCGATGGAGGTAGGTCGCCAGGTTGGCAGTAGAGGCAGGTTGACAGGTCGGCAGCGGAGGTAGGACGCCAGGTCGACAGCATAGGGTCGCCAGTTAGGACTCCATCATTTTGGCTAAGGCAAGTCATCACCTAGGTGATGTTGGGGTGTCATCCAGTTGTTTTAAGATGTCATGTGTCATGATGTCAATGGAGGGCCAAATCTACCCTCATCACTTCTTAATAAAGGTGTCCACATCATTTTTCATGACCAAATTACCCTTGGATGGCGAGTTAGAGGAAAAGGGTCATTTTGAGTTTTCAATTTTCTTTTTCTTTTTTGCATTTTTAGTGTTTTGTTATAATTTCCAATGTTTTTTATAATTTCTGTTTTTTTTACATTTTTCTATTTTCTACAATCTATAAAATTTTGGTATTTTTTCTTTATTTGCAATTTGTGTGTTCTTCTATAATTTTTGGTGTTTTTTTTCTACAAATTTTATTTTATTATTTTGTTTTTCAATTTTTATAGTTTCTATAATTTGAAAAAAAAAATTGTTCGCAATTTCTATAATTTTTTATTTTGAAATTTAGGTGTTTTTATGTATTTATATTTGAAAATATTTTTTCAACTTTTTCCTATTTTTCATGTCTAATTATTAAAATATATGTATATATTTTATATTTTTCTATGAAGGTTAAAATGGTAATATATTAACACCTATTAGTTTGTTTAACATCAAGTTAGTGGCATGGTTTGTTTTAGACATTTTGAAAAGTTGTGGTGAGTTTAGAAATGCTTCCCTAAATATAAATTTATTATTTTACAATTTCAGTAATTTTGATATTATTAGTAATTTTTAGCAAAACATAGTTATTAATATTTTCAACAATTTTGGCCAGTTTACTAATATTTAATGATATTACCAGAAAATTAATTAGAAAAATTCAGTAACTTTTTGATGGAAAATTAATTTTAATAATTATAATTTTATTTCTTATATTTTCAGTAATTTTGGTATTTACTATATAATATTTGAGCTTAATTACTAAAAATTACTAATTTTGATAATTTAGTTTAGTAAAAGTTAAATTATAAAACTTTAATTATTCAAATAAATAATTAAAAAAGTCAATCACTTACATAAATAATGCATACTACATTTATAATTACATAATTATTAAAACTATATCTATGAGTTTAAAGGGTGTTATGGCCGAGGTTTTGGGTGGAGAACTGGGGACCACATACTCCCCATCTCGACCCCAAGTTTTAAAATAAACACAATTTTTTTAATAGAGAAAACACCGTTTCTGAAACTATACTGAGTTTAAGGGGGTGTTATGGGTATGACAACCACAAATACGCATGACAATGGCCAGGTTTAGGGTGGGGAACTGGGGATCACATACTCCCCATCTCGACCCCGAGTTTTAAATAAACACCATTTCTGACCCAGATCCTCAATACGAAAATTTTAACATACTACCACCCACAATCCCCAACAACCGAGACGAGTTCCCCGTCAAAGACCTGAATCCATGAATTTTTTTAATTAAGGCTCAGTTCGGAAGGAGTACAAATACAAATTTATAGCGTGCAAAACCTTATATTATATTATTTTGTAACACATTCACATTTGCACTCCTTCCAAACTGAGCCTAAAAGTTTGTTTTCTGAAAATAGTTACCTCTACCCACGGGTTGCATAGGCTGATAAAGCAATAAATTTTAAACCCAATAAACCCTACCATATTTTTCCCATGCATCGCCCCGGTTGTTAAATATAAACCAGACAAATTCGAATACATAACATTAATCAATTTTGTACAAGTCTTACTACTAGTATCTAACTTTTGGTTCCTTTTTTAGGAAATAAAAATTCCACTATAAAACAACAAATGATGCATATGCTTCCGACCGATGTATTGCAGCCCACAAGTAATCAAGCATAACAAGAAACTAGATCTAGTATTAATGACTAATAGAATTAACACAGTAACCCTAATTACGGGAAGCAATCCCCTCGCAGTTGGCACTTGCAACCGCTAATAAAATGAAGTTTCTGGAAAACAAAATTCCATCCAAAAAAATTGTAAACAAGTTTCCGGGAGAAACTCCCTTTAAATCTGACGTTTGAAACTAAATTATTGGAAAGATAAAAAAGAAAATCGCCCGGATAAATTCTCAGTATAACTCTTTCAAGTTTTCATCACCATCTACTGCTAACAGAACTAATTGGATAGGATACCACCACCAGTTAGGCGCCACCAGACCCGTACTTCTTTCCAAAAACGATCAGCTGAAGCTTGTCATAACCTGCAAGCACACCAGCACCAGCAACTGCACGGAGAATGTTTGCTCCTGCTCCCTTGAACAATGACTTGGCCCCCTCATTCTTAAGAATCTGAGAGAAGGCATCCAAAGAGCTCTTGTACTTCACAGCTTCACCGGAAGTCATCATCATTCTTCTCCGAACAGTGTCAATTGGGTACGAGGCAAGGCCAGCACCATTTGTGATGAGCCAACCCAATGCAAAACTAGCAAAGAAACTATCCTGGAATCACAAATAAAAAGAAACTTGTAAGTGGGTAGACCTATAAAACATGCACTTGTTTGTGTATCACGAACACAAGCATCCACTATCATATCAGAAGAACACCACAATCAGCAACACTAATGGATGGATGGTAGAAATCAACAGGCCACCGTACCTGGCATTACTACATTAATTGCACTTTTATAAAAAGAGGGAAGAAAGAGGCAAGAGCAAGTCGCAACTAACCTGTAAGTTTCCAGTCAGAACCACTGGCTTCAATGAATCGTACAGTCCGAAGTAGAGACCACGATAAACAATGATCCCAACACAAGAGATGTTGAAACCACGGTAAAGACCAGCAACACCATCGGATTTGAGTGTCTTCCTATAAACATCAACCAAGCCATTGAACTGCCTCTCCCCACCCTTCTTTGCTGCCTTCGCATCATTTGCCAACCGGGTTCTAGCATAGTCTAAGGAATAAACAAATAGGAGGGAGGAGGCACCAGCAGCACCACCCGATGCCAAGTTGCCAGCAAACCATTTCCAGTAGCCATCCCTGTCTTTCTTGAAGCTGAACAACCTCTTGAAGTAGTCTTTAAAAGCAAAGTTCAATGCCTGGTGCAGAAATTATTTGGCACATCTTACATTCAAAGGCAATAAAATTAGAAGTTTTATGCAGAAACTAGAAATAAGACGAGAATCATAACCAACCTGAGTGGGGAAGTAACGGATGACATTAGCAGTGTTGCCCCTCCACAATGACGCAATCCCTTCATCACTGATTGTTCGCTTGAAGCAGTCTGTAATACCCTTGTAAGGCTCAGAGAGACGGCCAGCCTTGATCATCTCATCCTGGTTCTGGATCAAAAGCTTCACACGCTCAATGGGAGCAGCAGCCGTTTTAGATACAGCAGCGGAAACCCCACCCATAAGGAAATCAATGGCAAAGTTGGTGAATCCTTTCTCTTTTGGTGCTTGGACAAAGATAGGTGAAGCAGCTGGGGCAACCATGGACAGATCACAACTGCTACTGCTGCTGCATGGCTGTGTCAGTGAGTACTGTAGTCCACCATTGCTATAATTTCCATAAGCAAAGCGTCTCTGGTACATTGAAGGCCTATAAAAACTGCCATTGCGAGCCTGAACATCTTGAGAAAGGCTTGAACCAAGTTGAAACTGCCCAGCCACCTTCTGGAGGACAGTTGGGTGATGAGGCTGATCAGCCATCATTTCTTGCAAACTGAGACCCTGTTAAAATAAGCAAATAATTCTTATCAGGTAACATTGAATTTCAATTTCTCATACCCTGAACAGTTTAGCAACAGTTCTCACAATTAAGTAACCAGGAGGTCAAGGTAGCATCACCCTTTACGACTAAAAAACAGCAATTAATTGAAAAAGATAGCAATTCTCTTAAATGAGAATTTTAAATTTCTTCTTAAAGTGTGGAAAAGTCATCATATCTAAAAGATAAAAATAGTTTAAATATACTAGAAAAAAATGAAACCTCCTTTTCTTTCTTTCTTTTTCTCAAAACCCTTTTTAAAACAAAGTATAAATGATATATATAGTATATAATAAAATGTATTAACACACATATTAGCAAGACCTGGCAACATGAAAAGGCGCCTTGTCAATTTTGCCTAGGCAACACCATGAGAACTATACTGACTGGGCAAAGCATAATACTGTGTACAAGCAGGTCCTGAAGCACTGCAATGCATATTACAAATAATGAACTGTTGAAATAAGGTTTCAAATGGCACTTTAAGATAACACTAAAAAGTACCATTTGGAGGTAATATAAACATTTTTATCAAACAGCTTACTCTCAATAATACCTATGTACAAAGTGGACCATTTAATGAGAAAAATTATTGTTCTAAATATTTCAAAAAAGCTGGCATTCAAAATAGAAACACATGCCGAGTAACAGATGGGGGCTCTCTAAAATCATGCACATATAAATTTTGTTCATGACTTCATGTAGTGAACAGCATGTAGAAACAAATCAAATAAAATCATCTCACAAAAACTTAACTTCTGCCAGGATAGAAAAAACTAAAATGAAAGGACGAATCAAATATATGGTTATTCAAACTTTAAATCACAGAACATAGTACGTCAATAAAACAAGTACAGCCGGTAACCGGTTCAATTCCCTAATCAAAATCCAAGTACAAGGTAAAAAATGAAATGTAAATTCCAACAAAAAAACCAAAGGAAAAATAAAAACATGGGAGATAGCATAGACAACAGGATTTATTCAATAACCAATAACCGGTTGAAGATGAAATCATTCCTATGAGGATGTTAAAGTCAATGGCATCAGATAACAACAAGAATCAGGACAAATGACAATGCTTCAATTTCCATACCGACATTCAGCAGTTTTTCCATTCCCTTAGAGTTGCACATATGGTGAAGACAAAGCAATAAAAGCTAGAAGTGCATGAAGGCCAAGCACATGAAAGCCTCAAATGATAAAAATGATGTTTTACCTGTTAACCCTGCCCCACCCCCAAAGGACTGCCACCCAATGACAGAATCTTCTGTCTTGGAAAAGAAACACTTTATCAAAGGCATTACCCACTGTTTGTTCCAACCATCTGGGGTCTTGGGAGGGATAGACTAGGTACAGTCCCAAACTTTGCCATTTTTGCACAAAGTGGCCACCCACAGAGGCTCAGACTCAAAACCCTTGCTGTCACACTTACCAGTCTGAGATTTTCCCATTACACCAACTAACGGTCCCTAAACACTTAATCTAACAATGTTTTAAAAGTGCAAGGCACAAGGCGCACCACGCACATACCTTTTTTGAAGCAAGGCCCAAAAATAAAAACAAAAAAAAAAAAATCAAAATAGAAATACATAAGCATAAACAAAAAAAAATATTTTCAAAAAACACTATTATCTAAAATAGAAATACATAAACATAACATGTAAAGCATATTCAATGAAAATTGAAAAACATAATCAAACATACAAAACATTTTCAAGCATGTCAAACCCACAATCTCTTTTTTTCATCAGTTGCATTACTTCAGGTGGCTAATGCGATGTAAAACATATTGCATTCCTGAATCTATGAACCACCTTTGTACCAAGCCCCTCGAGGCAAGTCCAAACAATTCCATGCTAGGGTCTTTAATACTTAGTTCCCACACAATAAATAATGATTTTATAAAACATATTGCATACGCTAAAATGTGCCTCGCCTGAACGGCTAGGCATGTCTGAGGAGTACCTTTTAAAACTCACAGAACACTTGTTGATAATGATGCACCAAACTACAAGGCATTTAGGATGTATGACTGCAATCAAAACAAGCTCTAATAGAATAGTTCAAGGTCAAGTTCGATTAGGCTCAATTTGAATTTGATTCTAATCAAGTTCAAATTTTTAGGTAAAATCAATCAATGTTCTGAAAATCGTTTTCGCATTGTAAATCGTAGACAAAATTGAATCGAATCAAATCATGAATCATATCATAAACTGCAAGATTATTAATATTTTTTAAAAAATTATAAAAAATAAAATATAGATATGCTAAAAGACAAAATGTGTAATAAAGTGATCCTACCATGTTTTTAATCTATATCTACCATGTGTGTTCCTAAATCAATAGAATTTACCACTTATACAATAGAAGTCTAAGTTGATATAATCAAATTTGACTTGGAAGTTATATAATCCACAGACAATGACTCTTTATCCTACATATGTTGAAAATAATCTCAACATATGGTTTTATTCTTAAAAATAATAATCTAAATATGTGATTTTATTCTTAACAATAATAATCTCGAAATATATGGTTTCATTCTTAACAATAATAATCTAAATAATCTCAACACATGATATAATCAAATTTGACTTGAAAGTTATATAATCCACATACAATGACTCTTTATCCTACATATGTTGAAAATAATCTCAACATATGGTTTTAATAATCAAAATATTAACAATAATATGACAAAGTAGAGAATTTATTCTTAATCGAATTCATTTGAATTGCAAGAATAGTATAAATCAAATGATTTATGATTCAAATCATAGGATTCAAACAAAAATCATAAATTTTTTTGCAGAAAAGGATTCGGATATAAGATTCAAATCGAATTGGGATTCATGGTTCAAATTATGAATCATATTGTAAATCATAAGATTTTAACAACATTAAACTCAATTAGTTATTTGAACTCAAGATCAACTATTAAAAATTTCAACTTCATAGCCAGCACTCGATTAACTCAATTAACACATACATAGAATATAAAAATATATTCATTTTCGAGCTTTCTATCCAAACTCGAGTTCACTGAATATTTAATCAAACTGAGCACGAACCAGGAAATAGAGTTCAAATCATACTCAAACTTGACCCCAAGCTTAATAGCATTTTGTCAAACCAAGCCAAGACATACAGAAGTTCACCTCGGCTGGATTGCACCCCTACTAGAGCGGGCACTAGCTAGAGATGCATATCAACAAATCACCGAAAGAAAAGCATCAAACAAAACTAGGGATAGACTTAGAAACAAGTGTTGTTAATCCAGGGCATATCTTTGGAATAAAATGTAGGTATAAGTAAAACATTTTAAGAAACCAAGCTTCGTTTACCCAAGACTCAGGAAAAAAATTAACCGACTAGTGCGGTTACGTAGATTGCTGTAGATTTGAGAATGGATAAATTCACACTGATCAAGAAAGTAGGACAATGAAACAATGTATGGTCTACACGGACCAACACAAACTCGCAGTTAAGGTAGAACTAGATGACAAATGCACGCGCAGAAATATAGCAACAATTTCGACAGAAAAACGCTTAACCCGAAGGTGAATTTTCAATCTTGAAAAGCATCATCAAATCGACAGATCTGAATCTAGAAGACACATAAGAAAATCCAGACCAACAAGGCAACGCAGAAAATGCAACGAACCCAAGCACATATGAAATACAGAGCTATGGATCAATGAAAGACATTAATAGGGCCCGATCTACATTTATAGATATCCAATTTATCCAACTGACCTTCGCATGATGCTTTTAATATCGAAAGAACATTAAGAATAAAAAGAAAAATCGAAACCTAGAACGAATAAATAAAGAATAAGACGATGTAATGGGAAAAGAGCCAATAGATATTCCAAATCAAAATGAATGTGAAATAAAAATAAATAAAAATCCTGATAGATCTGAGTCCAGTATCTTTGGTTAAAAAAGTAGAAGTTCAAGATGATACGATCAACGGTGAAATGTCCGCACCTAAAATGCAAAAACAGTTACAAAACTCCAAATCTATTCACAGATAATATCAGAGGTCCAGACACACAAGATTAGGAGCCAAACGAGACCACCGATCCGCCCGTACAACAAGCAGGAGCAGATTCAATAAACACAAACAAGAGAATGAAAGAAAAATTAGTACTGTAGCATACCCCTGAGCTACGGCGATTGCGTGAGGCTTCTGCGCGTCGGCTCCGCCTCTCGCTTGGATAAAGAAAAGCGAAAGGTGGAGAGAAGAACAAGGAGGAAAGATGGGAGAAAGGCTCAATGAGGTTGGAAGTCTGGAGGGGCGGAGGAGAGTCTCACTTTAAGGGCCGACTTTGAAGAGATTTTTTATATTGGAGAGGCTGAACCGGTGCTTCTCGGAATACCGCTTTGAATAGTCCTTTTGTGGAAACCGTTGATTCGACATATCTGTATTGGAATCGGGGGAGGTTCTAGAATGTTTTTTCCAGGTTTCTCGGCAACTTCTGGTTAGCTACTTTCGGCCACGCTCGACAGCTCTTCAAATTTGTCGCGCACATACTTCTGTCCTTTCCTTTTTGATGCCTTAGAAGTCTGGCTGGTCCTACAAAACGAGGAAAGTGTGGTCTGATCTGAGCAGTGGATCTGTGATTGACAATGATAACCAAATGTGCAGATTAGTACTATAGTCCTCAATTTTCGGTGGAAAAACTCTTGTTGAGGTTCCCGATACGGAATATCGGAAAAAGATGTTTCGGTGTGCCCGATACTACAATAGTTTTAGTCGAGTCGTGAACGCTTCTTGACCGTCAAATGATCCATTTCTTCGGCGATTGCTGATTGTGTTGTTTGGATTGAAAAGAGTTCTCCAATATGCGCTGACTACCGGAGCGGCGAAAATGGGTCGATGGGTCCGTTTAACTTCTCTTGGTCATCGTTGGAAAATGGGCGGCTGGAAGAAGTCCATACTCCCTAACATTAGTCCAAGACTCTAGAAGGGAGTGGATCTCCCGTTCGGACGTGGTTACTTTTGTTGCACGTGCTTTTACTAATTCTGGGTCTGGGTCCATCTGCGCCGGTTTAATTATCGGGTCAACCAAAAAATACACCACGCTAAATCCATATTTCATACACGTGGATCAATCAGAGGGAAACGTGGTATATGTTGATTGGCTCAGCAATAAATCCTTAAAATAAAGAATGTCAAATGGAGCCTTAATACCGTAATAGAGCCGTAGAAGATGAGTCCATTTTCCAACCAACTGTTTCTGCATGTTGTTAGGTGGGGGCATTGAATCAAGTGGATTATTTGACGCACCTGTGGGTATCAATCACCGACCGGACTGGGAAGTGGGAAGATGGGGTGGGGTCGTGGGGAGGAATTCCGATTGGTTAAACGCGATACCTGTAATAGAGTCCAGATCTCCTGCATAATCCTTCCGCAAGACTTGTACATCAAATCAGAGGAGTAACGGACGTTTCAAACATCTTCTTTGTTTTTAATATATTAAAATTTTAAAATAAATAAAAAATATCAAAAAATACGGACAAGCTCAATGCAAATTTTTAATTTCCATTACAAAATTATAAACATTCAAAAGGTCAAAAATATCCAGTTTATACATTAATGCACATCAATTCCGAATTAACATCCACCCCAACTGTACCTTGAACCTACAAATTTTGACCCCGGGTTGATCAGTCATTCTCCTAAAATACTAAAAAATATGAATTAGGTTTCTTTTTCCTATTTCGTCATCTTGAATTTTGTCAACCATAAAACAAATCAATTCACAACACCTCCTCTTTTCATTAATTAATTATCATCATCGACTCTAATCACTCTTATAAACCAATTTGTCCCTACTTAAGTTTTATTTGTTTCTTTCGACTTCATTCTAGATCTTCTCTACTGCAATGGTACTTGCCTAACTTAGGCTTCCCACAAGTAGTCTGGTCTGCCAAGCGTGACTTATCTCCGACGGGTAATCTTTTTTAGTTTGATAACCTTCTTACTGGCCCAATTCCTTCTAGCATGGGAAACTTATCTCAGCTTGCCAGCATAAGTCTCTCCAATAACTAGTTCACTGGAATCCTTCTCCATGAAATAGGCAAGTTGGAAAGTCTAGAACTTCTTGATCTGAGTGAAAACCAGCTGCAAGGAAACTTTCTTCCCACCATAACCCGTTTGAAGAACCTAGTTTACTTCTATGTTCATTCTAACAACTTCTTTGGTAGTATATCTGAAGATTTTTTGGACCCATATCTCTAAGGAATGTGAGCTTCTCTTACAATAATTTCACAGGCAAGCCCCCTCCTCAAATTTGTATAGGAGGACAGCTTAAATACTTCACTACTAGTGCAAATATATTTGTTGGGTCCATCCCCCAAAGCCTTAAAAAACTGTATAGGCCTAACTAGAGTTTGTCTAGAGCATAACCTTCTTGATGGATCCATGAATGATGCATTTGGTGTTTATACAGAGTTCAAATATATTGATTTGGGTGATAACCGATTGTCTGGCATCTTCTCAATGAATTGGCCAGATAGAGTGTTCGAGTCTCTGGTTCCACCGTGTGTCTGGTAAAATGATATCAAGTCAAATCTCAGGGGAGATTGGAAGGTTGAAATATTTGCAAAAGCTTCATCTCTCTTCAAATCAACTGGAAGGAGACATTCCTGTGGGGATTTTCAGTTTAGATTCACTTCTATACAAACTAAGCTTGAGTAACAATCAGGTTTCTGGGCAGATACCAACAGAGATAGAAAGGTTGTCAGTTCTATAAATTCTGGATTTGTCACAGAACAACTTAAGTGGGCCAATACCAGAGGAACTTGGAAATCGTCAAGAACTAATATCTCTAAAACTCACTGATAACAAGTTGGATGGGACAATTCCACTCCGGGTTGGGAAGCTAGCAACCTTACAATCTATGCTTGACCTCTGCCAAAACTTACTCACTGGAGAGATACCACCACAGATTGGAAGTCTAACATCTTTAGAAAATCTCAATCTTTCTAATAATAGGCTTTCTGGTTCCAAACCTTCAGCCCTGCAAGATTTGAGGAGTCTTCAATTTGTTGATATATCAAATAACAATCTTGAGGGTCCACTTCCCAACATTAAGGCCTTTCAAAATGTTCCTCCCAATTAAGGCATTGGGAGGTAATTTCAAAATGTTCCTCCTTATAGTAGTAGTAGTAGCAGCAATACTTCTACAAACAAGAACAAAAGCGTTGGGCAGATTGTTGCTTACCATACCTCTCGCTGTCATTATCATAATTTTGCTAATTTTGTTTGGAATTTTCATCTACCATTATACATGCAAAGACATATATGCTGATGAAGAAGAAGACGGGAAATTAGCTTTTAAGGATATAGTAATGGCCACTAAAAATTTCAATAAGGCATACTGTATAGAGAAGGGATGACAAGGGAGTGTATATAAAGCAAAGCTTCTAGGTGATGTTGTTGCTGTAAAGCGTCTTCATTCATCCATGTCTGATGAAAATACGACGGTATGAGATACGAGCTCTAATAGAAATACGAGTACCTGGAGAGGGGAAGCTAGGGCAGTTTGCTAAATGACGATGAAGAAGCAAGGCTCTTGGACTGGGAGAAGAGACTGGATGTTATATCATTCACGATTTTTTTCTGCTCAGCTCTGTAAATTCATATTTTTTATTTGTTTTAAAATTTTAATATATTAATAGACATGCGAAATTTAAGCATGAAAGAGTACTGACATGACACTCTATAATTTGATGTACAACAAACTCTTCAGGAAAGACTGTATAGGCGATGGGGTCAGTGATAAAACATAAAGGCCTACAGAAGTTATCTGCTCTTGTTCTCACAGGCACATCCCATAATATATTGRAATAAATCCCTATTCAAGTTAAATGTTTGTGGGTCACTAGGCCATATACTACTGATGTGGAGTTTTATTATTGGATCTACAGCCCATTTAATAATTATTGGATCTCGATTCCATATCTATTATTGGGACAATAGATCTGGAACCACAACTAACTCATTGGTGCCAAAACTAGCCTAATCAGTTTGGGCCCATTGGGTTTGACAACCCTATAGCAAATGCTTTCTTGGTGGGGAGTGAGAATGGGTGGGTACGTAAAACTAATCTGACCATATGCCAGTTTGGTCCCATTTCCTATTTAATTCGACTCTAGATGGTCCAAAAAAATCTACATACTAAAAATTTTCTCCTTTTTTGTTTTTTTAAATTTTAATCCATGTCATTCGAAACTATCAATTAAAAATTCTAGTTTTTCAAAAAAAAAAAAACATCCTAATATCTCTCTCTCTCTTATACATTTCAATAACCTAAATAATCTAATATCATAAAATTTCTCCTAAACAACCACCCCTACCATCTTCAACTTTCTCTTAAGTTATCTTTAATTTAATAGAGAGTTTCTCTCCTAAATTATCTCTAATTCTTATTTATCTTCTCCCTCACTTTTTATCTACATCTATCTAAAGAATGTCTGAATAGCAAATTTAAGAATTATGTAAATATTATAACAAAATTATATAATAAATTTAAAATATTTATTAAATTTGACATTTTTCATGTAATTTTTCTTTATTTTTTAAATTTCAATTATTTTTTGGGATGACCCGAATTGACCCATGGGTTAGGGTTAGAGTCTAGCATTTGACATCCCAACCCGAAATTCAACCCGACCCAAAATCAACCCAAATAATTATAATCAATTTAATAATATTTTTATTATTAATAATTATATATTTTTACAAAGTTTATCACGAAATTATGTACAAACAATATAAATTATGATTTTCTGGATTATTCAATCTAAATGTTATTCAAATAATAAAAATCTAACATAAAAAATGAAATATTATTTAAATATTTTAATAAATAAATATCTTTAATAACAAAATGTTAAAATTAATAATATATTTTAAATACTTATTGAATAAATTTCAATTATAATAAATAGTTTAAGATTTTAAATATTTAATTAAATAACTTAATATATTAAATAATGAAATATTTAACATAACTAGATTTTAAATAGTTAAAGTAACAAAATTATGTATTAATTGCACTATAATTTTATGGATTTTTAAACTCAACAAGTAATTAATATTTTAAAATTTAAATAATGATATTATTTTAATAAATAAATAATGTTGTAAATAACTAGTTTCATTTATACCAATTAATAATTATAGAAAATAACTTTCAAAAAATTTATTGTTTATTAATAATAAATTTAAAAACTTAATCTTTATTTATTATATATTTATCTATATTAAAATTAATATTTATTATATTTCAGTAATTATTTATTGTTTTTGTGA